GCTCTTCACAGTTCAAAGTCTTCTTCCTCCTCCTCATCTCATTTGCTAACGGTGCTTGGTGGGGAGGATGCAGCTGGGTGCTGGGGCTTGGGCAGGATGGCTCGGTTGGGGCCTCACCCACCTCCCGGAAAGGAACTGAGAGCAAAATGCAAATAGTGATGGGTGAAAGAGGAAAAACACGTTGAAAACCTTTCTCCTGGGGGGGGTGTGTTTTGCTTCTTTCCTCCCCCTGCGAGGGAGAGTGGGTTCCTTTATTTGGAGGGACAAAAATCACCCCCGGCCAGGGGGGAGAGGTGGCCTTGGGTTGAGAGTGAGGAGCTGATACGGGACGGCGATGGGGCGGATGGGGGCTGCTTTCGGCATGAGTGGAGGGCAGCAGGGGACGTGGCGTGGGGAGGAGGGCCAGGAGCAGGGGAAACCAGCTCTCTGAGGGAGCGAGGTTTGCGGGTGCATTTCTGCCAGGTGGAGATTAATGAGGACTTTTGGGTTAGAGTTTGAAACTGCTCTAACAGGAGAGGTAAGAGTCCGAGAGGAAGATTTGTGTCTCAGGCAAGCAAGCTGATAGCATATTTTTACAAACGACACCTGCTCTGAGCAAGAATGTTTGAGGGGGTTACGCTTCGGCCCAATCAATTTATTAAAAAATACATAATTTTTCTCCTATAAAAAGGACACACTGATATGATTTAATTAGGCTAAATAAAGGTCTGTGTCAAGCACTGGCTTTTGAGCATCATGGGGAGCATCATGCTGAGGAGCATCAGGGGGTTACTGGCTGCCAGTGCTGTTCCTCCTGCCCTGTCCCCTTGATGCTCCTCTTCTTGCTGCCCGTTTTCAAACCCTTCTCCTGAAATCCTTAGAGGGAGGGTTTCCCACTTCATCCCCTCCTTCTCTCGCTTTCGGAGAGGATTTTTCTCATATACATTTGCAGAGCTGCTTCCTTCAAACCCCTCTTTTTGTGGTGATGTCACCAAATGTAGGGGACAGTGCGGGGGCAAGGGAGTGTTTTGGTGAACAGAGGTGGCTTGTGTTCCCACCAGCATCCCGGTGTGCTCTGCTCTGCTGGTCCAGCAGCTGAACTGGGCCCTGGTGCCTGCAGAGGAGTACCACTGGGGAGACAACCTGGGTGGGAGTGAGAAGATCAGCCACGCTGCTGGGAATAAGTGTTGGTGTTGGACAATTAGGATAAATAAAGGTCTATGTCAAGCACTGGCTTTTGACCATGATAGTGAGGAGCATCATGGGGAGCATCACGCTGAGGGGCATCAGGGGGACACTGGCTGCTGGTGCTGTTCCTCCTGCCCTGTCCCCTTGATGCTCCTCTTCTTGCTGCCCGTTTTCAAACCCTTCTCCTGAAATCCCTAGAGGGAGGGTTTCCCACTTCATCCCCTCCTTCTCTCGCTTTCGGAGAGGATTTTTCTCATATACATTTGCAGAGCTGCTTCCTTCAAACCCCTCTTTTTGTGGCGATGTCACCAAATGTAGGGGACAGTGCGGGGGCAAGGGAGTGTTTTGGTGAACAGAGGTGGCTTGTGTTCCCACCAGCATCCCGGTGTGCTCTGCTCTGCTGGTCCAGCAGCTGAACTGGGCCCTGGTGCCTGCAGAGGAGTACCACTGGGGAGACAACCTGGGTGGGAGTGAGAAGATCAGCCACGCTGCTGGGAATAAGTGTTGGTGTTGGAATAAGTGTGTTTACACATGGCATGGTGCATGCTATGGGAAGGCTGCACGCCTCCAGCATCCCTACCGACGGCAGAAAGCAGCCCAAAATACTGGGAGGAAAAGAAATACCACTATAAGCACTATAGCAAAGCCTGCAGTCACAGCTAGGAACCTTGAATATAATGCATATAATATGGCTTTTTTCTTTTTTTTTTTTTGGAAACTGTTGGAGCAGGTTGGAAGCAGAAAGATTGCTGCATGTTGAGGCTGTGGCTGTAGCACAGGGAAGGCTGCTGTTCACAGCACTCTTCATCCCAGGGAGAGGAGACAAATCAATGAAATTTAAAAGCCCTGCATTTAGATTTGATTAAAAGAGATAATATTTTTTTTTTTTTTTTTTTTTACACTCTACATAATTAAGCTTTAGAGCTGTAGCCACAGGAGCTGAAAATATAAAAATGGCAATGAGGGTTTTAAAGGGATGATGAGCACATCCAGGCTTACGAGGGGGAATTAAAATCCAAGAATGTTAAAGATGGTGCTATAAAAATTTCATCCCGCGAGGCATAAAGCAGCTGTGAATTCACAGGATGAGGATGCCCCTTCATCGACCTGCTCCAGCCCTGCTCTGGGGCACTGCACGTCCTCCCGCTGTGCTGCTTGCTCCTTGGGAAAGCATTTCCCTTGTGTTTTTTTGGGCTGAGGTTGCAGGGTGTGTTGCTGAGAATGCATTGCCCAAGCTCCAGGTTTGGGAAAGAGTCCAACACCCTTGCTGAGGACCTTTGTACGCCCTCCTGATGTTTGCTGGTGGAACAAAGTTCCTGAGCATCGCTCATGCAAGAAGGGGACTTTGGTAAGAGGGCCGTGATGAAATATCTCTGTACAAAGTGCAGATGGGGGGAGCTGGTGGTGGGATGCTTTGTGGCAGCTGGAAGTACCCCCAGAGGACTGTGGCTGCACATGGCAGGGCCATGCTGCCTGCAGGTGATGCCTGCACAGAGCCTGCGTTGCCTGAGGAGGTGTGCTCCTTGGAGAGGCTGGAAACATGAGGGATCATCATGTGTGATACTGCAGGGCCATGACTACAGTATACAGATGGTTTTGAGCTGTGCAAGGGCAGAGGGGGCCTGTGCGATGAGGGTAGTGGGTACCTGCAATGGGTGAGTGGGCAGAAGCTCCTCAGGGGTTGGTATGGTGGGGCAAAACATCTCCCTGGGCTTAAGTGAAAGTGTGGAGAGTTTAGGAAAGGGGTTATGCCAGCCCTCACCCCCTTCTCATCCTGTATGAAGCATGGAGCTGGGCCGTGGCTCTGATTTTGGGATGTGCCTTATGGTCCGGAGTGATGCTCTGGCTCCACACGCTCCTGCCTTCTCTGGGTACCAACCTCCGAGTGATGCGTGCCCACCTCATGCATCTGGTTAGTGCACTGGAGAGTCCCTATTTCCTTCAACTGAGCTTTTTTTGGGGTGCTCTGTAGGGAACAGAGGTCCTGGGGGCCTCACTTGGCCCCAGATGTGCTGAATGTGGGGTAGAGTGGAGGGCACTGCCTTTCTTTAAGGGACCATAAATGAAAGCCACTGCATTGGGCCAACTCATTGGCCAAGCCCCACAAGACTGGGATGCAAAGCACTGGTGCAGGCAACCCTTGCTCCCCATCCCAAACCCGTCTCCATCTTTCAGGTCCTCCATGGCCAGGGGAGACCCTCAGTTGTATGAAGAGTCTTCCATGGCATTTACTTCCTTCAGACATGAAAATGGTCACTTCATCCAGGCAGTTGAGTCTGCCGGGCTTCAGGCTTGTTTTTTTGCTGGGCCGACGGCAGTGACCAAGGTGGGGGATCCCCACGCTCACAACTTTGGGCTTCAGGCTTGGTTTTTCGCTGGGCTAACGGCAGTGGCCAAGGTGGGGGATCCCCACACTCACAACTTCCTTTTTTTTTTTTTTTTTTTTTTTTTCTTCTCTCAAATCGAAGCAAGAAAGAGAAGTTGAGAAGCTGCCGCAAAGCAAATTCCCCTGTTTTGTCTCTCTGAAATTAAATTTAGAAAATATTGAAGCGGTTTGGCAGAAAAGCTGCTTTCGGGCTTTCTCATCCTGCCTGGCTACGTGTCAAACATGAAAACTTAAGACGAGGAGGTCTAAATAAAGTCTGCATGTGAAACGAGAGGAGACTTTAAAAATCCTCTGAAATTCCTGACTTGTCCTGGAGATTCTTGCTAAATCAACGTTGGGTGGTTTTTTTTGGTTGGTTGATTTTTTTGTTCCCACCCCTCCTCGCCCCCCAGCTGGGAGCATGTTCTGCTGGAAATAGCCTTGCAATTAGGTTTTTGGTGGGGTTTCCTTCACTCTGGGAACAGATTGCTGTTCAAATTGGGAAAATGGCCTTAACGGAAGGCTTTGGGGTTGTTTCGCTCCGCTCCTGAGCATTTACACCACGGCTTTGCCCTCCCTGGCTGCAAACAGCAGAGCTGAGGGCCTCTCTGGCTCATGGGAGCAGCTACATTCATTAACAAAAACCATCTTGTGTTGGACTGAGGCCAACGCGCAGCTCCCTGCCTTCCCAGGGTTAAAGGACCCTGCTGGCCAACCTGACTTTGCAGTCTCACTTTATTGTTGTTTATTTTAACGGGATAACTTGAGCAGGGGGGACCGTGGGAGCCTCTGGTCCAACCTGCTGCCCAAAGGGTGGACCAGGTTGCTTAGGGCTTTCTCCAGCTTGGTCTTGAACACCTCCATGGATGGAGGTGGCACCACAGCTTGCACTAGTGGTGGACTGCTCCCCCCGCCAAGATTTCCTCCCTGTGTATGGTTTTTTTTTTATCCCACTGGATGTCCTTTGTAGGTGGCACCACAGCTTGCACTAATGGTGGACTGCCCCCCGCCCCAGATTTCCTCCCTGTGTATATTTTTTTTTTTATCCCACTGGATGTCCTTTGTCTCTCGGGTGCTCTGTTCCTCCTGGTTTGTGTTTCTTGGAGTGCTTTGCAAACAAGGAATGTGCCTTCTTCCAGCTGCTTCTGGGCTCACCAGGGTGGCTGTCTCGGCTACGTGACACCTTGCAGCTCAGCTGGAAACCACGGAGTGAAAAACCAAACCTCCGTGGCCAGCTGCTTTGGATGCAAAGTTATCTGAGCTCCAGTGGGGCAGGGCATGACCTTGCAGGAGGGTGAGAGCAGGTGAATCCCATGCTGAAGAGCCCTCTGTGCTTTTTCTTCCACGGGATAAAGAAGGATTAGGGACAGGGGGTGTTGTGTCCTCACTTGGCATGAGGTCAGGGATGTGATGCTCCCATGCACTAGGACCCCCCTCCCACCCCACTCCTGGACAGGCACACGGCTCGCTCCTTCGGTATCTTTTATTAATGTATAGAAAATGCATTAAAAAAAGGAACTATACATAGCCTAAGAGCGGTCAGGACTAAAAATACTAGTTAACAATGGTTAACAAGCGTCGATCCCATTCTCTGAGCTACGTTTTCATTACGGGGTGGGGAGGGTTGTTTAATATATTATTTATTTATATTATTTATTTTATTTATGCATTTATTTGCTTTTATCTTCCCCCTCATTTGGTTGCATTGGTTTGTGTTTGAGTTCATCAGAACCTGTCCGACGGATTTCGTTGCCTCCGTTCTTCCTTCATGTTTATGGTTTTTAATTTCTTTAAAGTAATGAACACAATTCCAGGGTAACACCTGTGCACAGGGGGCTGCTTGTTTGTTTGGTACCATCCTTCTGAGAAACCATTGACACTTGGAGAGCTGCAGGCTGGGTACCGAGATGGGCCTGGGCATCAGCAGCTCCCCAGGAAAGAGACTTTCCTTCTCCCTTACCCCAAACCTTCCCCCTGGAAGGGGCAAGAAGCTGCCACCACCATCTGGGCACCATCGGGTTTAAGGAAGGGGGAAGCTGACCCTGGAAGGTACTGGTGGTCCCCAAGGGGCTCAGTTGAGTTTGATTGCCATCCTGAGGTGCTTGTTTGGCAGAAACAGGGATGGACTTCTTGCTTGGCCCCAGGACAGAGCTCTTTGTTAGTGGGTGTGAGCATGAATTAAAGGTTTTTTTGAGGTGAGAGCTCTTTGTTGGCAGTGTCTGGTAAGGTCAAAGCTTGTGGGCATTGCTTGGGGGCACAGGACAGGGAGTGCGTGGTCATCCCAGAGTGTAACGGTGGGGACATATCATGAGGGCTTCTCTGGATCTGGTTAAAGGGCATGTGCTGGCACCTTGTGGGTATTTTGGCTCCTGCTCTTTTTCAGCAGGTTACTCTAAGCCTGTTGCAGGCACAGGGTGACCCCAGCTCAGGGACATCACTACCTGAGCCCTCACCTGCCATGTCACTGAGGATGAAGGTGTCTGAGCTGTACTTTTTGCACCCAATGTTTTTGGGAAGAAGGTAAGAGATTGAGGCAAGAGGGCAGTTAGGCTGGTACTAGGCTTTGAGATGCTCATAGTAAATTAATGCAAAGATAAGCAGTAGAAGCAAAGGCTTCTTCCCAACCTTTGTGTGGCTCTGGCACTCTTCCAGCATCCTTCTGCCAAAATCCAGCTACCTTTGGGGAAGGCCTGGCCTCCTTCTTTCCCAAAATTATTAATTTATAAATGCTGTCTTGAGGATCACTTTACTAAAAGCAGCTTCTCCTTTCAGGCCTTTTTTTTTTTCTTTTTTTCTCCTTTGGTTATGTTTTAGTGCAGTCTGTGGTGGAAAGGTGGGCTTGGAGGTCTGACAGGAATGGAAACAGGGAAACAGAAATTGGGCAAGAGATAAGAAAGTCCCTTGGTGTTTCCTTCCAGGATTTTGGAGTTAGAAACAAGAGGTGGCTTTGAAAGTCTGCAGAGGTCCTGGGCATGTGCAGTGTTCTGCTGGGTGAAGGACTTGATGTTCTTCTCTCTGCTTCATGTTATGGGAGTTGGCATCTCTCAGTGGATAGTGTGGTTTGGGTACAGCTTCAGGTTACTTTGGGGGCCTGGGGCAAGCCTGAGCCATACGAGCTGAAAGACAGAGGAGCCACCAGAACCCAGCGATGGTTCATGTGCTGGAGCCAAAGTCTCTTGAGATAAGCATTGTGCAGGATCCAGGCTGGGTTTCTCAGAATTTCAGGCCTGTTGTCAAGATTTCATTCAGTCTTAGTGCTACACTGGTAGGAGGCAGGGACAAACTTTCTCTGCTTGGAGAACGAATTCAGAAAAAGGTTTTGCTCAACCAGTGATGGAGGGTAAAAAGACACATAATCAGCTGGCTCTTTTGTAGCACCAATGTTGAGTAAAAACTTGCTTGAAACCACTGGCAGGAACTTTGTCCAAAGAAAATCATCAGGCAATGATGAAAAATAAATTTCTGGAAAATTTCATCTGTATATGGGCAATGTGAACAAGGGTCAATGGCCTAAATGACTGGGTTGTCATTGCTGATTGTTTGCATTAGCTTGAGTTAGGTTATCACCAGGAGAAAACCATGATGTGTAGAAGTCTTTCCTTTGGAAGATTTTAGCACCTGCATTTCACCAAGGTAATGGGAAGGCAACATCCTGGTACCATGTGTGAGATCAGGGACCAGAATTGGTATATAATGGCACTGCAAGGTCTGATATTATCTCCAAGGGCATCCTTCAGGCTTGATGATGGAGTTGTGTCAAGTGGAGCCTTTCATCCTGGTTACAGGATTTAAAAAGGATGACAGACATGAGCAGGGAGGGAGAGATGTACGTCAGTAAATCTATTTAGAGAATAATCAGCCTTTTTAAGGATCCTCTTTTGAACCTGCTGGAAAAGCTTGGCATGTTTTGATTTTCTGTTTGACTCATACTTTTGAAAAGAGAGGTTTCTTGCCTTCCACTTGATTGCAAATGATGAGGTCCCGTTTTTCCACTTCCTTTCACCTGGGTAGATAAGCAAACAATAGCGTCTGAGACAGGTGATGAATGCCATCCACTGCCCATCTTTGCTCCTAGTTGTAACTGCTGCACTATGGTGCTTTTGTTCGGACACTTCTTATCTATAAACTCTTGGTGATGTTGGGAAAAATATTACTCTCCTGGTCTACTAGGAAGCTTCTTGCATTTTAATCAGTTCTATCTGCTGCTTTTTGTTGGCATTTGGAACCTAAAACAGAGCAGACCGCTCAGGAGGTGTGACATGGTGCCATCAGTGACGCTGGCCATGTCCTGCAAGAGATCCCATCATCTGCAGCCTCTCTGACTGACCTGTTCCTCAACTGGTTGACTTGTTGCCTGGTTTGATGCTGATGAGAAGTAAGAAGAGATGCCTCATCTACACGTGAGTTGTTGCTTCCTCCAGGTCAGACTGTAACTTGTAAGCTGGAAGGGTTGGACCCTATATCTATTCCTGACCTTGGGGTTAGCTATGATTTCATGTGCCAGTATGTGGTATAGACAAGGAGGCTGCATTTCCTGCTTAATGCCCTTCTTCAGCTCTGCAGCCCTTGTGAGTAATGTCAGAAAATCCAGGAGCATGAGAGAAAGAGACACTGGCCTGAATTATAAGCTACTGCAAAGAATGCTTTATGTTGCCATCTGGAAGATGTTTCTTGAGACAAAGCTGCTTCAGTGTGGTAAAATCAAAAAGCAGTGTTTAGCATTTGTAATGCTCCCTTGGCTGCGAACCCAGTGATGAGCTGCATTGTCTTTGGATATGAGAACAAGTGTCTTCTCTGAGACCAGGCCAGTGACAATGCCCAGCATTGATCTCAGCCCTCAGCAGAGGAGTGACTCCAGCATGGTGGTTGTTTGTGCTATGTGGAGGTGGTGTCAATGACAACAGAGCTCAGCCAGAGCTATCTGAAGGGTGCATCTTCCTTAAGATAGGAGAAGTTAAGGATGGGAAGAGCAAACTCATCTATTCTTCCAAGGGTCTTGAAGTATTCCAAAATCTGAGTGGACTAAGCCTTCCTCCAGGAGGGGAAACAGTTGAATTTCCATTAGAGAGATGGTGATACCAAGGCACTGAGATTTGAGTCCCTCTTGTGATGACGATGAAGAGGGATGGTGTAGGAGAAGGAAGGGAGTGGACATCTCTCAGCCTGCACTTGTCTTCCCTCATTTGCATCTTCATCCTTTCCCATGTGCGTGGAGGTTTCTGAACAAGAGCACTGAAACTGTGCCAGCTGCCAGCTTCAGGCTGAGCTGTGGTTTTGTGGTAGTTCATGTGGTGGTGCCAACACGTGAGTTGTGGGTTATCTAGAGTTTGCCTACACATGCAGATGTTCACCAAGCCCTCCTGGTGTGATCTGTGAAAACTGGAGGTGGGATGAGCCTTGGGTTTGCTCATCCTCGTTTTGTCTCCATGTGTATGGTTGCCTGCACTTAGGGGAGGGATGACCAGGCTGTGTGCCCTTGGCCAGAAGGAGAAACTGTTCTGCCTGCTGAAAGAGTTGGTGTCTACAGGATGGTATGAAGCTTGAGACCTCCCTGACAGGAGAGGACAGGTGTCCCTGGCCATGACTGAGTGAAAATGACTGCTCCAAGGCCCCAGTGGGGAAGGTTTCTGCCATGAGCCTTGTGACAAACATTTCTAACAGGGTTTGCTGGAGATTTCTAAGTCTTTTAAAAAAATATCAAAAATCTGTCTGTCTCTTTCTCTCTCTTTCTCCTTGTGTTAAGGGCCAGAGTATTGGGGTAGGGAGACTGGAAATTTGGTATTTCTCTGGGACAGATGCAAAGCAATAAGGTCTTTCCTTTCCCATGGCCTTTGTTGTGCCATGGTTCCCTCCAGCACTCGTGAGGGGCAGGTTGCTATCTCAGACGAGTAGTAATATTTTTTTTTTCCCTTTTCATATTATAAAATACAAACAAATGACAGAAAAGGTCAGGTGGCGAAAGATGGGAGGGGGTTCAGCTGGCTCAGAGCTGTAGGGACCGTCGCTTCCTCCCAGAGATGTTACGGTGGTTGTAAGGTCGCATCTTCATTTCTACGAAGGGGATGGAGAACTCGTGGCCTTTCCAATGGTACCAGTTAATCCCCTGGGAGGAGGGAGAGAAAGGCACAGGGTAAAGAAAGACCCTAACACAAAACTAGAGTGGGAGGGGGAGGCAAAAAGGTTGACCACCATAGAGATGTTAGAAGGAAGAACTTGCTACAGTAGGAGAAACTCTGCTTCTCTAACTTGATGTGTTTTTCCTACTGCTCGAAGGCTCCTGATCAAATTTCATGTATGTATTTTTTAAGTGTAGCCACAGTAAATGACTATGGCAGCCAGCGTGAGGCATGAAGTACCACCCCAAATGTCTTGAAGGTGGTTCACTTTGCTCCAGCTTGGGTTGTGTTGGCGCTTCTGACCTGGTGCACCAGCCGTGCCGCCCCAGCCCTAGCTTGGGCTTGCTGTCACGCTTGGTTGCACTGCTAGAATGAAGAAATGCTTAAAGCTTCCAGCCCACTGCTGCCCTTACCTGACTGTGCCGGGACTCTCCGTACTTGCCGTTGAGGTTGGTGCGGTGGCAGTTCTTGTACCACCAGGCCCCTTTATAGGACATGGCGCAGTTGGTCACAGCAACATCGTTGTCCCTGTCCTTGGTGGAGAAGGGGCGGCCCTGGTGATAGCTGAGGGAGTCCCCTGTGGAAAGAGGTGCCATTAGGGGTGACTGAGCCCGAATCATCTGGTCTTTTCACAAGCAAATTGGGATATTCTGCTATATGTGGTAGCCTGTTGGTCAAGAGCTCAAACAGCTGAAGGTTTGGGAATGTTAACTGGAATTGGTCACAATTAGCTCATCTGAGGTCCTCTGCCATTGGTTTAGGGTGAGTACAGACCACAGAAAGTCTTAGCAGCTGCTTGTGTTTGGCAGATAAAGTGCTATATGGTTTTGTATCTGAATTTCAGTGTTTCAGAAATTAATTAAATCCTAGATTTGGGCATTCCTGATTTCCTGAAGCCTGGTTCTGCTACGTAACTTCAGGATGCTTTCATCCTCCTTTCTTCCTAGTTAGCCAAAGGAAACTTTTTCTCCCAGAGGAGGCCAAGAATTCATCTCTTGAACCAGGATGCTTGGCTGCCTTTTCTCCCTTTGGATAGGGGGAAGAAGCTTTTGGAAGGTACGTGATGTCTTATTCCACCAAACCCACTAACCTCATCTCCTCTTCTTGCTAAGGAACAAGAGAGTTGCTTCTGGGTGAAAGAAGGGCCTGAAGAAATACGGTCATTATTACAACTGAGGGACCTCTTCTTGCCAAGGAACAAGAGAGGTGCTTCTGGGTGAAAGAAGGGCCTGAAGAAATATGGTTGTTATTACAACAGAGGGATGCACTTACAGGAGACATTCTTAATGTGCCCTTTGGTGGTCCCTAAGAAAATACAAAGTGGACCCATGCTAGCTGTGTGTAGTCCAGCCACTGAGAGGCTTGCCAGAAGACCTCTCAGCAAGGAACCATTTGGTGAGTCTTGGCTCTCTCTGCTCAAGGTGGAGCAGGGGCTCCTTGGTCAGAAGAGAAGAGCTTGCATGGGGAAAGGGAGGCAGTCATGTCTGCAGCACTGATGCTGGCATTTTTGGCAATAGGTTGGGTGCCTCGTGCCCTGGGACGTAAGGTCAGAGCAAGTGGTGTGTTGCACACAACCAAGATCCCTGTTGCTTCTCTTCCAGTGGCAACTACCAGATATTGTATAGGAAAGGTCCTGCATCTTAGATACGGTGCGGAGTTCCTCGCTAAGTACATCGTGGTGAAGTTCTGTATGGATCATGGGGACTTTCACTGGGCATCCCAGCTAAAGGGGCTGCAGCTCTACCCTTCTCTCCCTTCTTGGGGAAGAGACCCCCGTGTCCTCCCTCTGTCTCCCATTGCCCACTGTTTTCTGGTGGGCAAAGCCTGGCCATGCTGCGTCAGCTGAGCAAGCAGGTGTGACAGTGTCCTTGCAAAACCAGACCGTGTTTGGCCTTTGCATGAGGAAACAATGCACAGGATCTCAGAATTTTCCATTGCTGTGGGAGGGCGATAAATACAGCCTCCAGCACGGCATCAATAGCGAGCTGTGGTCATTGCCAAGTGAGATGACACCTCTGACGACTGACCTGGTTATTTGAACAGCAGTGCCTCTGATATTAAATATCTAATCCCCAGTGGAAAATTCCCTTTGTTCTTAGCGGGATTTATCAGCCTGGTTTACGTGATGGACCCTGGTTTACATGGGAAGGCAGAAAGGTCTATGGGTTTGTGTCTCTCTGCTCCAAACGAGTGAGCAGTGATGTTGGGATTTCCTTCACAGTTTCAGAACCCCATGTCCCAGGGGTTTCCCTACTACTCGCTAGCACTGAGGTGGTACCTGAAGTGCCATTGTAGTCCCCGATTCTCAGCTTGTACAAGCTCCGGGAGTCACCAATGGAGAACTTGTCATAGTAGGCGTACGCTGTTTCCTGCCCGTCCCTCATGTCTATTCGCAACTCGTAGCGCCCTTGGGACGTAATCTTGTGGATGTTGTCCAAGCCTGGTGAGGCAAGCAACGAGACATCCGGTGAGACCCGGTGCCTGGATCCGCTCTGTGAGCAAACAAAAAAAGCTCTAGGCAAATAAAATGGCTGTGGGAAATGAGACTGAGGAGAGGAACCGGAGAGCAGCAGCACTTCTGGATAAATCTTTGTCTCTCCTGGAATTGTGGGGGTGTCTGAGCTCTCTGTCCCCACTCAAGCTTCACCTCCCCGTGGCTATGAGAGGTAGATTCAAGGCCAAGGTTCAGCTTTTTCCGTGCTCCTGAAGCTGGGGATTGTTCAGCTGGGGAGCCCTCATGTTTCTCATGTTGCTGTTAAGTGCCCATACGAGCCAGAGTGTGTTTGTGCTGCAGGGCCAGCCTTGTCTCATGTTCAGGTATTGGGGGAGTGCACTCCATTTCAGAGCCATGCTGGGTCTCCCACTCACCCCTTTCCTACTTTCTTTGGGCTACTGGTCAAGGCTGGGTGAGGTCCATGCACCATAGATGCCACCAGTACAACCTGTAGTCATCCGAAGGAGGATGATTGGTTTTGGTCCCTGAAAACTCCTAGCATACCCCCTTCTCTTCTACGAGGAGCACATGAGGGAGCTGCTGTTCTTCACAATGTGCTTTTATGTGGTGTGCCCATGAGTGGCTTTCTAATGTGAAGGGCAGGGAATGAACGGAAGAAAAACTGTCTGAGGGAGAGCATAGAGGAGTGGGGTGAAAGTCCAGGAGCCAACAGCTGGCATGGGTGAGCAGCATAATGCACAGCAGGCTTGGGTTTGATGCATCAATGAAAGACAACCAATGAAGTTCTTACCCAACCAAAACTCGTCTTCCAAGTTTCCGAAGCCAATCCGGTAATCTGTCCATTTCCGGAAGAAATCAGTCAGCCCGTTCTGCCGCCTCTGGAAGACCTGTGGTGGAGGAAGACCAGGTGGAAAATCGGTGTGAAGGAGATGAGGGATGGTTTTGCAAGGCTTTGGATACACAAAATAAAGGCAATACTTCGTCTTTCCATTGCATTTTTCAGGGGAGAAAATTGCAATGCCAATCCAGTTAGTGTCAATTGCAGTCATGCAATTAATTAATGTGCAGGTGGAGTAACTGAAGAGATGTTAGGTGATGGCCAAGGCAAATCAATGTTATAATAGGAAGGAATAAGCCTTCAAGCTTTCTGCTCCACCCAACGCATGGTGCCTCTAGTTTTCTAGCATGTGACTCTGCTTTTGGCTTGATCTTTCTGTGATATCTGAGCAGATGCTCTGAAGCAGAGTGAGATGGAGGTAAGCTTCCTGGCTAAAATAAGATCCGTACTAGAAATCAGCATTTGAGGAAGTCCTTTTTTTTTTTGTTGTTTTTTGTTTCGACTATACATCTAGCAGTGTTTTATATAATGCGTGTAAGTAAGCTTTTGACACGAATAAAATCAAAGCACCAGAGCATTATTTACTTAAGCTGCCAATCCATCTATGTCAAGACAAGCAGTGTTTGTGCAATTCAAAAGCCAAACAGGCATTTGATTCTAAAACGATCCTGTGCAGACTCAAGCGGGGTGATGCCTGGCCCCCTCCTACTGCAGGCAGCGTGAATCATTCCCCGTGAAAGCTATTGGCCATTAATTTCATTTCTAGAGCGATAAATCAGCTTCGCTCTCGGATTTTGCTCTCCAGAAGCACTGCAAACATGTCAAATAAATCAAAGGGCATTTCTCCAAGTGTAACTATTATTACTGGAGCGTGGGCCATTCCCTATGGCGTAGGAAATGAAGCGTGCCATATTAAGCCTGCTGTCGTTCCCGTGCAGCATGGTGCTTGGCTTTCCTGGTAGGATGAGGCTGGGTTAGTTTGTGATGGGGACAAGGCATGGGACAGCTGTGTGGCTACTCACAATCCAGCCTCCTCCATCAGTGGTCATGTCACAGTACACCTGCACTCGCTGGCCGAGGTCCCCGTTGATGGAGATGGTATAGACACCGCTCAGCGTGTCTCCGTTCATCAAGTGCTGGGCACAGTCCTGAGGGTTAGCAAAGACACGGCCACCTGCAAAATTCAAAAAAAAAAAGCCAAGTTTAAGCAGAGGGACACCCTTTCCACATGCCTCAGGCCCTGCTGGTTTCAGTCCAGGAGCTGGGACCTGAGTTGTTCCGCAAGGCAGTGGGACTTTACATCTGCCAACAACACCAGAGGATTCAGTGGAAGAAAAATGTGTGCATATATTAATTAATCTCCTATACAACCTATGTGGGGAAGGTGCATGGTAACATCACTGTGAATGATGAGGGATGTCACTTCTTGCACCGTCTTTCTACATCGGGTTTGGAACCCTGGGGTTTAAGCTGTCACAGGCATATTTAGGCAGCTGTGAAAATACCAAAACCTGTTCTCCTCTCAGGATTGCCAACTCCAAATAAGTTTTATGACTTTACTGATTCCAGGGAGATTCTCCTGATCCATGCCCTTGGAAATGATGGGGGACTTAGACTGGGCTGATTGTCGCCTGCAAGCTGAGCAGGAATTGGGCTCTTAACAACGAGATCTCAGCAGTATTTGGATCTCAAGTCTGGGTTCTTTTTTTTCCTCATTTAATACAAAAGGGGGAAATACATCTAGGCTCTTAACAACAAGATTTTGGATCTCAAATCTGGGTTCTTTTTTTCTTTTTTTTTTTTTTTCTCATTTAATACAAAAGGGGGAAATACATCTTTTTTTGTTGTTGTTGTTGATGTGTATGAATGATGGGGTAAATGAATGCAGAGCTGGCAGTGTGGATGGGGTTTCCAAGGATGTCTTTGTTATACGTTGAGAAAGACTTGTTGTGCGTGTCCATCACAACTGTGTGATATCCCACAGGACCAGGGTACAAACCCCTTGTCCATAATTTCCTGTTTGGGTGTATAAACCCCAGCCTTCTAACCTGAAGACTCAGCCGTCGTTGCTTTCTCCAAATGTTGAAGATCCCCTATTTTTTCCTGTTTTTGTGGTCTGTAGCACAAGGTCTGGTGAGACAGTGTTTGCATTTTATAGTATCCGACAATGAAAACTGCTTCAAAGACAACCACTTCAGGCTCCCCTGAGCTCTGTGGAGATTGCTTGTTTCTTAATTTATATTCATATCTTTAAGAGCCAAGGAGACCTTGAAAGACATTTCAAACTACTATAAATTATGAATACTGTATCTGTTTCTTCCTTTTGTCCCATCTGTATACAATTCCCCAAGAACCTTATGCAAACATGAAACAAAGAGGCTGAGCTATTAATATGTTAGAGGGAATCGCAGAACCCTGGGATGTGTACTGTGAGCAGAAGAAAGCAAAACAATTTAAATTAAGACTGGTGTTTGTTTTTTTCTTTTTTTTTTTTTTTTCGAGACAAGCCCTTGTTCTCTGCATTGTGCCCCAATACTCTGCCAGCATGAATTGGATCCCAGACCCTAATTCTTTCTGAGGGATGCTGCCCATGGATTGCCTTGTCTTGGTGTTTGTTCCTGGGTGCTTCTGTCTCATCAATATATGAGGTAAGTGGGGAGAAACTGGTTTCTTGCTGATGGTTATCTTCAGCTTAAAAGCGAATTAAACTTGTGTTTGGATGCTGTGTCAGCTGGCAATGGTGTCTGACACTGCTGAGGTCTGACATCTGTGTCTAACGGAAATGGTGCTCTCCTTGTCTGGAGTTGAGTGGGTTTCTTCTTCTTTAGCCCAGCTGAGAAGCCAGCCCCATGCAGTTTTGTCCCTGACTCCTGAACAGCCTCAGAGATTACATGCATTTTCCCATCTCCTGCCTGAATTGCACTGGCTTTATGTGCCCGCATAAGAGGCGAGAGTAAGAGGAAAGTCTGATCCATGGATGCATTAGAAAAGAGTCTCTTTTTTTTTTTTTTTTTTTGACGTAAATAGTTTCTATTATCTCTTAAAAGCAGGTGGAGGGACCTGCGCATGTAACCAGGATGGGGAAGTGTATCCACAGCAGATTCAAAGGAAGACTCTCCTAATCGAACTGGCAGCGCAGATGGGAGGAATTTCAGCGTACATCATCTTCAGGCTTCTCAGAGCTTTTGAAGCCCAGGAGAAATGTAATTGGATTCAGCCCTGAACAAAATGCACCCTGTCAAGTGCCCTGGCCTAGCAAGACTTTTCAAAGAGGGTGAGGGACTATATTCTCTGCACCGTTTCTAATGTGAATGCCTGCAAAACGTGGGGGCAATGGTGATGTTTTCATGCAAACTTCATTCTTGCAAGCGTAAGCATTCCATCTGTGAGGGTTATGGTGGCTGTGGATCCCACCCTTTGATTTGGAAAGGAAACTGTTCTTGTTGCCTTAGTGCTAGAATTAGAGGAGGGAGGAATAACGCAACTAGATAAAATCAGTGGGACCACAGGCCTGCGGACGTGCTGGCACTACTGTCTGTGATTCCTCTCATGGTGGTGGAGATGCACCTGCTTGTTATTTCCAGGGATTGCCCCCTCCCTGGAAATGTTCAAGGTCAGGTTGGACAGGGCTCTGAGCAACCTGATCTAGCTGAAGATGTCCTTGCTCATTGCAGGAGGGTTGGACTAGATGACCTTTAAATGTCCCTTCTAAACCAGACTATTCTATGATTCCATGATATTTGTGAGAGATTGGACCACATCTACAGCCTGGAGAGACCAACTGGGTCTCTCCTCACTCACTGCAAAAGCATATCTGTTCATAACATGTTGTTGACTTTTGTGGCTTTTTTTCCTCTGTTTATGCATTTGAGGAGGATCAAGGGCAAGGCAAAGGGTAGACAGTTCCTGGTTTGAAGCTCAAATCCCCTTGCCCTGGGCTGGACCTTGTGTTTGTATTATAGGTCCTTCAGCCATTAACTTCTTGTAGCAGAGGAGCACGGTGGGTGATGAAAATGAATGTACCTCTCTGTGGATAATGGTGAAATGCTGCCTGAGGAGGGAAAGCGAATAAAAGCAGTCCATGTCTACCAGCATATGTGGGCCAAGCTCCCCCTGGCTTAGCAGACATGGTGTGAGTCCTCACCTGTGGTGAAGGTGGTGGAAATGAAGCCGCTCCGCATGGTGTTTTGGGCAGCTTGCAGGCGCACGGTGTACTCTGTGGTCTCAGAAAGCCCCTCCAGGCGGATCCACGTGTCCTCGGCATCCACAATCAGCTCCTGTACATGGGTCCCAGAAGGAGGTAGACACCAAGAGCAACAGATAAGAAAAGCAATGGGGAGCCTAAGGAGCAAGCGAGGGAAGCTACAAACTACTGCAGCCCTTGGTACCTTGCTGAGGAGTGTTGAATGTCTGCTTACACCCCTGGACTAAGTCAAGGTGAGGCCAATGAATGCATTCAGCATTTTGGAATGGTTCAGGTGGGAGAAAGCTAGCTGGTTTGGACACAGGAGATTTAAATGTTTGCAGTCTGTGCGCTCTATTTACCGTCTCTGTTGGGAATCCGTGTGCCCTTGGTAGAGACCATGACAGATTGCCCAAGCATTGCAAGGAGTAGAGCTGGCCAAACCTGGTTATCAACCAGTTTTGACTCCGTCAATTCCTGTCACGTTAGTTTTTCTGGTCGTTAGCCAATGCTACACAGCAGTATATTGAACTCCTCCTGCAAAGCTGTTACCCTCTGGTCGCTGTGAGACAGTCACACCGGCAAAGGGAACGAGACTATTTGCTGTGACGTATTTCTGATAGCGCTTGTAGCAGCTCTTCCAGGCAGGCAGATATGGACACACTGATTAAATAATCCAATATATTGTATTGTGGGCTTAATTAGCTGCCTGTACCTATCTTCGTTTTTGCAGGAAGGGCAAATGGCATTTTTAGAATCTCTGTTCAGGGGATAATTTTATCCTGCCTTAGCTTGCTTGTGTTTCACAAGTTGTGAATTTCCCCTGTTCTTCCAAAATTTCCAGGCATGCCCTCTGTGCCCAGACCTGCAGGTGTGCATAAAGATTTTGCCCCAGGCAATCTTTTCCTGCTTTTTCCAATTGTTTATCTAAAATATGACTTATGCAGAATGTAGCATCTGCCCTTCTGGTCTCTCCCTGACCTAGTGAGCATTGGTGGTTTTTTTTTTGCTTTGTTGTGTTTCTCCTGCTCGTTTCTCCACAGCCATGCTATTCCTTGACTTAATGAGCCTCTTGCTCTGTGAGGACTCGCTCACCTTCCGGCTGCCGTCGGTGGATCTGTAGGTCATGACGTAGTTCTCGATCTCTCCCAGGGGAGGTACCCAGGAGAGCAGGGCGCTCCGTCGAGTGACTTCACTGGCTGTCAGATTTGTTGGAGGATCCAAAACTGCAAGGGTGGATAGGGACCCAAGGAAGCACAAGTTCTCACATGCCACTGCCCCAGCCCGATTCCCAACTCAGTGCACTGGGATTCAACCTTGCAACCTTGAGCTACAGCCTAAAGTCCATCCTCGCCCTCAATTTCCAGACCTCTTCACCCAGCCCCAGCCCTGAACAGAGCTCTGCAAACCCTCTAAAAGTCTTCCTCTGCCTGCATGCTTTCTGAAGGGTATCAGCTCCTGAAATGCATGTGCTATGGGGTCTGTCCAGCTTCTTGTAAGCAAAATGGGTTGTTGTGCTCTTCTGGACTATGGCTTTGGGCACTAAAAAGACCTGGTCAAGGGTCGTCTTTGGAAACCACATCCAGGTGAAATCAAAGAAAGGGGTGGGTGGATGTTCAAAGAATGAAAATGATGGTTTATGCTTGTGATTAAACCTCTGCTCTTGTGTTGTGCTGAACACTGGTATTTAAGAGTCCTTTTGGCACATGGCAACTTCTACACCCACACGTATGTGAAAAGAGCTTTGACTCAGCCTTGCTGGCTGCTTTTCCTGGGGTGGATGTATGGCTAAGGGCGTGCAACAGGCAGTGGGAGAGGTGATTGTACGTACGGGTTGTAAAGTTGGTGCTGATGGTCTGGCTGGTGATAGGCCCATTGGTGGCGTACATAGAGACTGTGTAGGTGGTACTGGGAAGGAGGTTGGTCAGCTGGTACTCCTGGTTGACTCCATCTACAAGAATTGTTTCTCCTGCAACTGTAAGCCAAAAGACATTACTTAGGGTAGATATTCAAGGTGGTTCTCCAAAATGTGTCTATGGATATGACCTCATGATCAAAAGGACTTATACTGCTGAAACACCATTAGGTATTGTGTAGCAGCTGAGCTGTTGTGATGGTGTTTGGTCTGAAAGATGGTCTTATTTTTCCCACAGTGCCCATATTTGCTGGATGCTTTCTTTCCACTCAGTAGTGGGTTTCATGGAATTTGCAGTTTTTGTGGGATGGGTACTTGTTTGCCTCTGGCCTGGTGGGCCAGTTAGTAAATCAGGAGGATCCCAGTCCCCTACTGTGTGGGCTGCTGTGCTTGCGGAGGGCCACTGCCATGGGACCTGTGCAGGAGGAGCTGGTGTCTGGGACAGGGTACAGCCTTGTCACCTGCCAGCTGCTGCCCTTCCAAAGCAAGGGTTCCTTCCACACTTCTTCCGTGGAGGGTACCTGCTAAGCACTGAGCTTTTGGTTAGGGAGAGGTGGAGGTGAGCTGAAATGGGACCCTAGCAAAGCTCATGGCAGAGGGGCTCAGGGTTTTGGTTTACCTGCGCGGCGGGTGAGGACGACGACGTAGCTCTCCACATCTGACAGTGGTGGGTTCCACTGCAGCAGCGCCTCGGTGGGAGTGATGTTGGTGGCTGTGACTCCCAAGGGGGCGTCCATGGCTGCATGGGGAACAGATTTGGAGAGTCAGAGGCATTAAGAGACTGAGCTATGAACTGGAAGGGCTTCTTCTGACCCATTGTTTGTGGTCGTGCCTTGCTGCCCAGGCACATGTGCCTGCAGAAGTGTTATTGCTGCCCTAGCTGGAGAGCAGAGATGTCATTGCTTGTGCTACTTTGCTACTTGGGCAGCTCTTCCACTGTTTTCCTGATGCATAGCCTGGAATGTTAAAGTTTTTTTAGGTTTTGACAGATCTGGGAATAGCAGAGGGTTTTATTCTTGCAGCAGATGCTGTTTGTGTCGAGGCTTCCCTAAGGATTATTTCTGGAAGTCTGTACTCCCTTTAGGAAAGGTTGTCATGGTTGCCCAACATCATATCTCTGGCTTCCCCATGCCCAGCACACAGATTTATCACTCTCTGCCATGACTACCCATCCATATACAGGAAAAGCTTTGCGTAGACATACTTTAAAAGTCCTCCCTGGGCCTTTGTGAGCCTTGCTTATCATCTCAAGCTTGCATCAGGCTGGCGTGAGGTTCAGCTTTCTCTCAGCTGCCTGATTGCCAGTGCAAGTAAGGTCTAGCTCTGTTTGAGGGCTACCTGCTCACCAAGAGCTCCTTCCCACCTGTGTACACAGTGATGGAGGCCACCTCGCTCTCCTCCCGGCCCCGCACGCTCTTCACCCCGATCTCGTACTTGGTGGCAGGCTGCAGGCGGCGGAGGGCATACTCAGTGGCATCGCTGGTGATGGCGGTGCTGTCTGTCCTCCCTGCAGGGACACAGTCAAGAGCTTTGGCATCACAGCTGGCCCCCTCCCCGTGGTACAGGAGATGCTCAGGAGGGGGGCAATGTCACAAGCCCTCTCCAGAGCTGATATTGGGGGTAACTGGGGTTTGTGCCTGCAGGTTCACACCTGAGTGCCCATCACTCTGCTGGCTCGTCATTTTCAGAGTTGTAGGTGAAACTTGGAGTAAGGGAGATGAGCCAGGGGGAGGCAGGTGAGGAGATGGGATTTCAGGATCAGGCTCTAAATTAACCATTGCCAGGGAGGGCACGCTGCAGGGATCACTCCCTGTGCTCCTCTTTGCTGAGCTGTTCCTTGGCCACAGTGGCCCTTGCCCATCCTTGTCACCCTGTCCTCCATCCCTACAGCCTCTTTGTCCATCTCAGCTATTGGTGACTTTTCCTGGGGCACTGGGGTGCTGCCTAGGGTGAGGATAACCTGGTGACTTGCTCGTGCCCACAGGTGGAGGGAAGGTTGGCAGCTGCGAGCTCAGGGCATGAGCAAGAGACATCTGACCCATTACCTTCAGCAGCACGGTAGGATATTCTGTAGTGGTCAAAGGTGGTGATGGGAGGACTCCAGTAGATGATCATGGACTCCTGGGTGACATTGCCCACCCTGAGGTCCTTTGGTGCATCGATCCCTGGTGAGACAGAGCAGAAAGCAAAGCTGTGGGAGGCAGGTCTGCTCCCCGTCCCCCCCGGCTTGCCCTCCCGGCAGGATCCCATGCCTGGAAGGGAGGTCCCATGGTACCTGTCGTGATGGAGCCCACAACAGGCTCAGAGCTGATGGCACCGTGCACGGCCACCAATGACACCAGGTACTCAGTGGATGGCTGCAAGCCTGTCAGGCTGGCATGCCTGCAGGTGCCATCAAGCGTGAGCTGCTGTGCCTCCTCCTCATCCCGGGGGCTGTAGGTGAGGATGAGGCGGTCTGCTGGTGGGGACGGATCACTCCACGTGACGTTCACGCTGGAGGATGTCAGCTGGGAGAAGTGGAGCTGTGTGATGGGCCGAACCCCTGCAAGACAGAGAAGGGAGAAAAAACCCTGATCACCTGCAGATCCCAGCCTCTGTGTTGTTCCTGGTGCTTTTAGGGGAACTACCGAACAGAAGTGCCAAAGCTGCAGCTCTGGACTCTCCATTGATCTGCAACTGTGCTGGGATTGAGAGGCAGAACTGGGAGGAAAAAAAATGGTGCTTTTCTCAGCTCTGCCTGCAAGCATACTCCATCCCAGACCCATATGGTGGGTGATGGGGCTGTCCCACTACAGACAGTATGTGCTGTCTGGGCTTCCTGACTGAATGATTTTCACCCAGAGGTGCTTGTGAGGTCCCTTTGTTTCTCCTTCTTATGGACACACAGACCACCCTGAGCACAGAGGACGGTATGAGCTGGCTGTTCCCCCAACCCTGCCTTTTCCTTATGGGAGCATCCAGCCAAGTATGCCGAGTGCTGCTGGCCAAGAGAATGGGATCCCCATGCTGGTAGGGCCATCCTCCTTCTGAGGTCTACAGACCTCCTCCCACATGGATGGATTGCGCCCAGCTCTCATCCCCCTCACCACCTCAAGAGTTTTGGTGCCGGGGACATGGTGGGCTGGCAGAAGTGCCATTGTGGGGCAGTGGGCTGTGCCCTTGGCCCCATCTCAACTTGTCTTTCTCTACCTGTGAAGGCATCCACGGTGGCCTCCAGGCTCTGCTGGCGTCCCCTCTCAGCAATGATGGAGATAGTGTACTCTGTCCCAGGCTCCAGCTCCGACAAGGTGAGCTGTGACTTGTCCCGGGGTACTGTCACTTCAGAGGCCATCCCTGAGGCGGGGGTGAAGGTGATGCGATAGTGGTCAATGGGACCCGTGGCTTTGGTCCAGGTGAGTGAGATGGATGTCTCTGTCGAGGCTGTAACCAGGAGGTCTCGGGGGCTGTCGAGCTCTGTGGGAGAGGGTTGGTGCAGACTGTTGTCCCCATGCACAGACTGTCCCATGGGGATGTCTGAGCCATAGAAACTGGCCGTGCTTGGAGCATGCAATGGGGCCAAACTTACCAGTCCTGGCATTCATGGTTGCTGGCACGCTCTGCTGGCTGTCCATCACGGCCGAAATCCCAATGCCATACTCTGTCCCTGGCACCAGATCTGCCACAGGGTGCAAAGGACACAAAGGAGCATGAGAGTGGCACCTGGATGGGTGGCCTCATGGTGCGACCCTCCCAGCTCCCATGGTCCTCCTGGGGTCCCTCCTGAACACCCCTGGGGTGAGCAGCCCTCCTGCAGGTCAGTGGTTCCTCCGTGCATTAGAGAAGATCTGATATTTTTTTATAAAGCCCCATGGATGACTTTGGACAGGGAATTTGGATTATTCTAGCCCAGAAATAGGCAATTTTAAAGTTGTTGCTGAGGTCTGCTGTAATTGCTGGCATCGAGACAGAATTTGCATGTGTGCGAGCTGAGATGGGAACGATAAAGTAGCTATATTTGTTTCCAAAGTGATTTAACATCAAATATTGTCACAGAGCTGGTGTCTTGAAGAGAAATAAATTATGCAGAGTAAATGAAATGCACATTAATTAGGAAAGGCACAGTCTTTCTGGGAGCCAAATCAAGCGCCGCTCCTTGGGGTGGATGTATCCTGCGGTGCCTCTCTTGAGGGACATGGGGATCCAGCTCATCCAGCTTCTTTCCTGCACACCTACTGCTGATCACGGTTGGTTTTATCTCCGTGAGACATCTCCTGCCTCTGCCTGTCACTTTTATCTCTGTGAGACATCTCCTGCCTCTGCCTGTCACTTCTGCTCGGCTGTTGGCAGCTTTATTCCCCTCCTCCTGGCGCTTCATGATCTTTCCCACAGGGTTAGAGAAAGCCATAAATCCTCCAGCCCTGCCTCACCCTGCCTTGCCCAGGGGCAGCATCCCCTGAAGGCACCAAAACCTTCTCCAGGAGGCCAGGAGGGAGGGAAACCCCCATCCCCTGCTCCTCTCCTCTTGCTACGGTGCAGTCTCAGTGCCGGGGAGGAGATGGACCCCCCTCAGCCCTGCCCAATGAGTGTCAGAAGCATCCTGGAAAGGAGGAGAAGAGCCTGGGAAGAAGGGGAAGGAGAAGGAAGAAATGAGCAGCAGCATATAAAACAATGTCTTTTCTCTCCCGGCTCTTTTGGGTAGAGCAAAGTTACGGATGTTTTCTGTACAAATGCTGATTTTGAAAAGAGACATATGGGGCAAGGCAAGGCTTGCTGTATTTTTAAGCTTAGATCTTTTATAAGCTCTGCTCAGTGGTGTTCCGCGCTGCTTTTCCTACAGGCAGATGAAGGTAGCTGAAGGAATCACTGGTTGCATCTACATCGTGGATCCCACCAGGTCCTGGGTGGCTGGAAACCCATGGGCTTTGCACCACATGCAACAAGACCTTGGACAACAGGGGTACCATGTGTAACAGAGCTATGGGAGAGGCTCATATGCGACCCACACTATGGCTATCCTGGCACTTTCTTGGGGTTTTTTTTGCCAGCAGAATGTTTTTTGGGTTATTTTATGCTATAATTATTTTCTTTTTAATTTGTTTGTCTATTACATAGTGCCCTGGGAGCTAGAAGCAATGCACTTAAGTGATGATGGAGGCACTATATAATAATTGCTCACTGCTATCGACTTAAGCCTCTATCTCTGGAGCTTGCTCTCAGGGTGTTTCTTGTAGCTCTGCCCAAGTCTGGCAGACGGCAGAGAACGCTGGTGCTGCCAGGTAGAGACTTGGCAGCTTTTTTAATTTTTACTGAGAGAAAAGAGAGCTTTCATGCTGTCTCTTCCTCCAAGGCAAGCTCGGGCTGTGCCATGGGTGTCATTGCAGTTTAGGTCACTGGGGTAGCATTGCACCTCTGCCCCAGGGAGGAGAATTTGGCACATTTTTAATGCCTAGAAAGGCAGTAAATGCCTAGAGGAAAGCTAACAGGGGACCAGCACTAGGTCCCCAATCCCTTGCTGTCCTGCTCCATCTCATCCCGCTTCTCCATTTGCATCCTCATCACAAATGCAACAGAAACTATCCCTTACGTCCCCAGGGAGGAGAATTTGGCACATTTTTAATGCCTAGAAAGGCAGTAAATGCCTAGAGGAAAGCTAACAGGGGACCAGCACTAGGTCCCCAATCCCTTGCTGTCCTGCTCCATCTCATCCCGCTTCTCCATTTGCATCCTCATCACAAATGCAACAGAAACTATCCCTTACGTTTCTTTTATCTGCATACCACATATTTCAAGCTAACTGCTTTAGTTGTTTTCCTGCCCTCCAACCTTTCTCATGACTTGGTGCTGCTTTGCCTGTAACTTCACATTCAATTTTCCCACTGAACTTATTCCTATAGATCCATACAGCAGAGATGCTTGAGCTCTCTTTGGGCTGGGAACGTCCCAGGAGGGCAAAGACAGTCAACGTGGAAGAACCTGGTGCCTTGCCTGTCCTGTCCTGAAGAGCTTCAAGTGAATGAGTGATCTTTTTTGTATGTGTGTAGGTAAGTCTCTTCTTTGCTCAAAAAAATGCCACTGGAGCCACAAATCTGTCAGACAAGTGACTGTAGTTGAAAAAAAGGAAACCAGATCTCATACGGTGCTTTGTGGTGTTGCTGCAAAGGGCGTTTGGGACTTTTCTGGTAGAGGGAGGTGGGTGGTGTTTGTAGCCCCTGGTGGCAGCCCCTGTACTAGCCTGAATAATGTACAACTTGAGGGACTTGCTCAAAAATAACATCCCTGGATTCACATCTGCTTTGTGCCATCTTTTTTGTATGTGTGTAGGTAAGTCTCTTCTTTGCTCAAAAAAATGCCACTGGAGCCACAAATCTGTCAGACAAGTGACTGTAGTTGAAAAAAAGGAAACCAGATCTCATACGGTGCTTTGTGGTGTTGCTGCAAAGGGCGTTTGGGACTTTTCTGGTAGAGGGAGGTGGGTGGTGTTTGTAGCCCCTGGTGGCAGCCCCTGTACTAGCCTGAATAATGTACAACTTGAGGGACTTGCTCAAAAATAACATCCCTGGATTCACATCTGCTTTGTGCCCAGTTTGGAAAAAGGCAATGAACTTGGGGAGCCCGGATCCCCCATTGCTGCCTACAGGGCATTGGCACCCATGGCTCTTTCCCAGCAAGGAAAAAAAGAAGGGAGAAACAATATTGTCCTCTAGATCAGCCTAAAAAGCCTTCCTCTCCCCATTTCTCACTTTGCTCCTTGCCAGCTCTATTTGTGACCTGGAGAGACCTTTGCTGCATCATTAGGAGGTGCATCGCTCAGCTCATGGATAAGCAGCACCCAAACCCAGACCCACAGTGGGGAAAATGATCTTCATCCCAAGAATAACCTTCTCTCTGGTAACTAGTAAACTCCCAAACAGCCTCATATATGTTCCAGCATGAGGGTAACTGGGCATTGGTGCTGATTTGGGATTTCCATCACCCTACTTGTTTACACACATACCTGCAAGAGTGGCCCGGGTGGTGGGACCAGTGTCCCGTGGCACCAGGACTTCGTGGTAGTGCTCTCCTGCCAGGGTGCTGTAGACCACCCTGTAGCTGTGTGCCTCGGCCTCACTGTTGTCCCAGGCGAGCTCGAGGCTGGCAGGTGTCCGTGAGCCCACCCGTAGGTTCTTGGGGGCATCAATCTCTGCATGACACAAGGAAGAGAGGCTCTGCCTCACCACCGGGCACTGGGAATGCACCCTGTAGCCTTGGCATACCTAAACAGCAGTGGAGGGGTACCCGGGGGTGATGTCTGTGAGGTCCCACATGTGGACCCTCCTCCCTGGGGCACGTCCCTGTGGCAGGAGCTGGGACATCTGCTCTCACCTCCTGCTCAGCACAGACCTGGAGATGCCACCCGTGAGACTGATGCAAGTGCTGGGGCATTCACAGCACCCTTCAGTAAGTTACTTCAGGAACTAATTGCATGTTATTTGAAAAAGAAAAGCATTTTCCCCTTATATTACAGTAAGGGAAACTGAGGCAGCGTGCATAAGAGAAAAAGGGCTCTGTAGCAGTCACACGTTGGCCTGAACTGCTCTTAGAAGAACCTTCTAAGGTTCTTCTAAGCATCTTTAGAGCATCTTTAGACCATGAGCATCTTTAGAGGCTCATTCATGCTTAGACATTGCCCAAAAGGTTTGTTTATTAGTGCTGCTGGGGCTGTGCACCAAACCTGCTCTGATTTGCACAATAAACCTCTCCTGTGAGCGATGGGTCGGTGCCGGGCAGGGGCTGGGCACCAACAGACGGGGGGTAATTACTGCTCCTTGATGGATCTGAGTTTAGAGGGGGATTTTTTATGTTGCCTTTTAAAAATAAAGCAAGGAAGGCCAGCGCAGCAAATCAGTCGGGGTGAACATCTCATCCGAAATATATATCTATAGAGATATATACACACACAATTCACACACTGCAGTTATTGTGATAGGAGCCTAGTATCCACTAGTAACGTACATGACAAGTAATTTATATACCATAAACCAGCACTGAAATACGCGCTCTACCTCCTCCTTTATGGCACAGTAAATTAAACCTGTTAGCTATCTGCAGGCTTAACATTAATTAAAGTTTTACCGACCAGTTAGGGTATTCGGAGAAGATATAAAGTAAGATAACCACGTTTCTGACTGGGCTGCTTTCAGCTGCTTGACTGCCGATTCCTCGGGCAATGCATCTGCCTTGGCTCTCGACGCTGAATGGGAGCGAGCATCATCTTAAATTCAGACCTGTGCTTGCTGCTCTGGTGCTTTCAAGAATTGCACGTTGATTTGTGGGTACTATTAAGGGTGCAAACTGCTGGGGTTTTAAAGTTTTAGTTGTGGGCTCAAGCTAAGCTGTGGGTTTGCATGGGTGTTGAAGGTGGGGGGGGACACGTATCACAGGCAGCAGCAGGTTCAGCCTTGACGCTGCAGCAGGATGTGGTCAAGGTGGCGTTTGCTCAGGAGTTGTCATCTAAATATGGGTTTTTGAGTCATCTGCCTGGTGGGGACACGTCTCGCAGGCAGCAGCAGGTTCAGCCTTGATGCTGCAGCAGGATGTGGTCAAGGTGGCGTTTGCTCAGGGGTTGTCATCTAAATATGGGTTTTTGAGTCATCTGCCTGGTCGTTGGCATCTGGGGTCACCTGGGGTTCCCAGGGGTCCATGGGAGCATCTGCAAGGGGCATGGAGCACTGGAGGTTTAGGGACTAAACAGAAATGTAGGCACTGGTGGAGGGGGGTTCAGAGGGTGGTGTGAGCTGTGCGTGTGTTTTAGGGTGAGCTGAATCGTTTGCTCTGCCTTGCTTTGTACCAGGACCATGACAGGATGGTGAGACACCCACATTCAGGCATCTGCATTCAGACCTGCACCTTAAGCATCATGTTCTCATTGTGCCCCTTCCTCCCAGTAGACCAGAGTAAACTCCAGCTCACTTGTGCCAGGGGATAACCAGGACCATTAAATCCCAGATGCAAAAAAAATCCAAAAAACCACCTTGATTTGGCTCTGGAGATGTAAACCCCCACACTCATTGCAGGACAGCCCGTCTGCAGATCGCAGCAAGCCATTTATTTCCCCACGCTGGCTGGAGGTTTGAAAATTCATGCTGGTTCTCAGAGCAAAGCCAACTTAGCTACCTGTGGTGAACTGGGCGAGGGCTGGCTGGCTCTCGTTGGCACCCCGGAGGGCACTGACGGCGAGGTGGTAGCGGGCGCCGGGGCGAAGGGCCTGCAGGGAGTACTGGCTGAGGGGGGGCTGCAGGCGGAAGGTGGTCCTCCCCCCTTCCCCGTCCGCCAGCCCGTACTTCAGCAGGATGGCATCCACCTTGGCACGTGGCGGCGTCCACTCCACGAAGGCCACTGTGTCGGAGACATCCCGCACCAGGATCTGTGTGGGGCCGTCAATGACTGCAGAGGAGGGGGGGGGAAACGAACACCTGTTATTTTGGGAGAGTTGGATGGGGGAAGGTGGCAGCTTCGGGGACACCAAGCTTCAGGGATTCTTCAACCCAACCTTCAGAGTGGCCCAAATTAGCAGGTGGGGACAAGGCAGAGAGGTGCCATGGGGAAGAGACATGATCCTCTGCCCCAGGGTACTCAGGGGGTTTAATCCTGTTGGGTTCCCAGTCCCTTGTCCCAGTCTCCTGTCTCTTTTCTGAACCCTCTCCACTTCACCCAAGTCTCTCCCAAGCTGTGGATAGCAGAGCAGGACCCCACAGCTCTCCCATTGATGCCCATTACAGCTATAATGCAACTCATGACCTTTTCTCAAGCTGGTTATTGGCAACAATTCCTCCCTGGCTTCTTCAGGTGGCATCTCCCAGGATAAAACCTTCTACATCTAATTGTGGTCCACTTTTCTTGCTCCTAGGTAGCTGCTCGTACTTCATGATGCTTTGAAAACCATACAGGTTTCCTTTGTCCCCAGCTCTGTGAGCCGTTCAAACTGCTTTTATCGGTGATCTCCTTCCGTTCAATTTACTCTTTTCTGAGCCTTTCCATCACTGGCAAAATTTATCAGCAATGATATTATGTCTTTTGAAAGGCGTTGACAATGTGTTAAATAACGTGGGGCCAAGGACTGATCCAAGCATTGAGGACTGAGGAACGTCTCTAGAAATGTTCCTGCTTTGGTGCCAGCTCCTGGTTTGCTGTTAAGTTGAGGGATCAGCTTGTAAAGCTGTTGACGTCTTAGCAGTGGGGAGAGAGGAGAAAATGCAACTGCTTTTAAGAGTCTTCATAACTATCTGGGTGTGGGGCTACAGTGGGTGTCCACCAAACCCCCTCAGATATAGGGGCTTTAGCTAAATTCATACAGGGGTCTGCTGGGAGACAATTTTGGACATTTCTGCTTTCTTTTGCAGAGAATTGGACCCTTATCTCCTCTACGTCCCTCAACACTCAACCTCTGGAAGTTATGGGTTCAAGCCTCAGTGGTGGATGCTTTGAGTCCAGTTGCTGCATGGATAGATGGATGTGCCAAGCCCAGCCATCACTCCTGTGCCATGGCAGCATTGATGCATGGGGCCTGCTGGGCAGCCCATTTTATCACTTACACGATCACAAGGTGGGTGAAACACCCCATGCTGGTTCTATAATTCGGGCTGTACTGTGTGCAAGAACATCTAATGCACTGTATAGATTAGAAAATGACACTATATAATAAGGATGTGCTTAAAGCTGCAGCCCAGGGTGGGAAGTTCTGGGGGAGATGTGTGTGGGCAGGGGTGGGAAGGACCAGAGAGGATTAGAAAAAGACTTGGGGGAACTGGGAGCAGTGGGCTGAGGTCTGAGGGCCAAACAATGGAGCAATGGAGAAGGGAGGACAGCTGGGAAGCATAATTCGGGCTGTACTGTGTGCAAGAACATCTAATGCACTGTATAGATTAGAAAATGACACTATATAATAAGGATGTGCTTAAAGCTGCAGCCCAGGGTGGGAAGTTCTGGGGGAGATGTGTGTGGGCAGGGGTGGGAAGGACCAGAGAGGATTAGAAAAAGACTTGGGGGAACTGGGAGCAGTGGGCTGAGGTCTGAGGGCCAAACAATGGAGCAATGGAGAAGGGAGGACAGCTGGGAAGCAGGGTGTTTAGGTAGGAGCTGGGTGTCCAGCTTGGCTAGGACCAGGTTATGCTTATCCAAACCCTGAATCTCCAACCACCTCATGTTGTCCAGTCATCCAGGTGATGCTGGGCAGCATCAAGTTCTACTTAGCTGTGCAGCATGAAACCATGCCTTTGCTGCTCGAGGTTGGCACAAAACGTTGAGGGAGAACAGGGGTTAATGGGGGCATGAGGATCATGAGGGCAAAGCTACGGGGGGTGGCGCAGAGGAAGACAAGCACACCAGCACAGGGATGCCTTCATGGGGCGTCCACGGGGACCCCACCACTCCGGTTGCGCTGACGTTGGCACAAAATGTTGGGGGAGAACAGGGGTTGATGGAGGCATGAGGATCATGAGGGCAAAGCTACGGGGGGTGGCGCAGAAGAGGACAAACACACCAGCACAGGGACGCCTTCATGGGGTGTCCACGGGGACCCCACCACTCCGGTTGCGCTCCCCTAAGGTGGTCAACCACTGCGCTGGAAGTACCAGCTTCTCTCTGTTTTTTGCTGACTTCCTAGGGAATGGAAGATTTGGTCTTGACCAGGAGATGTCTCTGTTAAGCCATGTCGAGCTGAGCGTGGAGGCAAAGCGGGAGGAGAGGACTGTGCAAGGAAGCTCAGACCTGCAGCAAGCTGCTAGTGGTGGAGGGACCCTCCCTTCACTCTCACTCTTGCCTCAAATTAGCAGCCTGGAGAGAGCATCACCTTGTTATAACCCTCCGGCAGCTATTTAAATGCCGTTTCTGTTTGCAACAGCTTGGATGGAGGTAGACATCTGCCTGGCTGCCAAGGCAGACTGCAACAGATCTGGCACGGAGAGCCTCTTCTCCCCGATGAGCTCTGCCCATCACCACCTCTCCATGGGCGAGGAGAAGACCCAGTTCTTTCACACTTGCTGAATTTCCTCTAGCCTACAGGATGGACCAGCGACCGGCCAAATAAATCGGTTAGGAGGTGATGTGCCGTCGCTCCTGGCTCCCTGCCCCGCTGCCTGATTTGCCTGAATTGGTGGGAGTGGAGGGGATTTAGTGGCACAAAACAAAGTGGGAGTTCTAATCTGTTATATATGAGTAGGCAATAAATTTATAGAGATGTTTGTTGGGGGCCTCTGAAATGTGAGATTAATGGAAAGAGGAATTTATGCAGCTATATCAGCTATAATGCAACTCATGACCTTTTCTCAAGCTGGTTATTGGCAACAATTCCTCCCTGGCTTCTTCAGGTGGCATCTCCCAGGATAAAACCTTCTACATCTAATTGTGGTCCACTTTTCTTGCTCCTAGGTAGCTGCTCGTACTTCATGATGCTTTGAAAACCATACAGGTTTCCTTTGTCCCCAGCTCTGTGAGCCGTTCAAACTGCTTTTATCGGTGATCTCCTTCCGTTCAATTTACTCTTTTCTGAGCCTTTCCATCACTGGCAAAATTTATCAGCAATGATATTATGTCTTTTGAAAGGCGTTGACAATGTGTTAAATAACGTGGGGCCAAGGACTGATCCAAGCATTGAGGACTGAGGAACGTCTCTAGAAATGTTCCTGCTTTGGTGCCAGCTCCTGGTTTGCTGTTAAGTTGAGGGATCAGCTTGTAAAGCTGTTGACGTCTTAGCAGTGGGGAGAGAGGAGAAAATGCAACTGCTTTTAAGAGTCTTCATAACTATCTGGGTGTGGGGCTACAGTGGGTGTCCACCAAACCCCCTCAGATATAGGGGCTTTAGCTAAATTCATACCAGGGGTCTGCTGGGAGACAATTTTGGACATTTCTACTTCCTTTTGCAGAGAATTGGACCCTTATCTCCTCTACGTCCCTCAACACTCAACCTCTGGAAGTCATGGGTTCAAGCCTCAGTGGCGGATGCTTTGAGTCCAGTTGCTGCATGGATAGATGGATGTGCCAAGCCCAACCATCGCTCCTGTGCCATGGCAGCATTGATGCATGGGGCCTGCTGGGCAGCCCATTTTATCACTTACACGATCACAAGGTGGGTGAAACACCCCATGCTGGTTCTATAATTCGGGCTGTACTGTGTGCAAGAACATCTAATGCACTGTATAGATTAGAAAATGACACTATATAATAAGGATGTGCTTAAAGCTGCAGCCCAGGGTGGGAAGTTCTGGGGGAGATGTGTGTGGGCAGGGGTGGGAAGGACCAGAGAGGATTAGAAAAAGACTTGGGGGAACTGGGAGCAGTGGGCTGAGGTCTGGGGGCCAAACAGCAATGGAGAAGGGAGGACAGCTGGGAAGCAGGGTGTTTAGGTAGGACCTGGGTGTCCAGCTTGGCTAGGACCAGGTTATGCTTATCCAAACCCTGAATCTCCAACCACCTCATGTTGTCCAGTCATCCAGGTGATGCTGGGCAGCATCAAGTTCTACTTAGCTGTGCAGCATGAAACCATGCCTTTGCTGCTTGACGTTGGCACAAAATGTTGGGGGAGAACAGGGGTTGATGGAGGCATGAGGATCATGAGGGCAAAGCTACGGGGGGTGGCGCAGAAGAGGACAAACACACCAGCACAGGGACGCCTTCATGGGGTGTCCACGGGGACCCCACCACTCCGGTTGCGCTCCCCTAAGGTGGTCAACCACTGCGCTGGAAGTACCAGCTTCTCTCTGTTTTTTGCTGACTTCCTAGGGAAAGGAAGATTTGGTCTTGACCAGGAGATGTCTCTGTTAAGCCATGTCGAGCTGAGCGTGGAGGCAAAGCGGGAGGAGAGGACTGTGCAAGGAAGCTCAGACCTGCAGCAAGCTGCTAGTGGTGGAGGGACCCTCCCTTCACTCTCACTCTTGCCTCAAATTAGCAGCCTGGAGAGAGCATCACCTTGTTATAACCCTCCGGCAGCTATTTAAATGCCGTTTCTGTTTGCAACAGCTTGGATGGAGGTAGACATCTGCCTGGCTGCCAAGGCAGACTGCAACAGATCTGGCACGGAGAGCCTCTTCTCCCCGATGAGCTCTGCCCATCACCACCTCTCCATGGGCGAGGAGAAGACCCAGTTCCTTCACACTTGCTGAATTTCCTCTAGCCTACAGGATGGACCAGCGACCGGCCAAATAAATCGGTTAGGAGGTGATGTGCCGTCGCTCCTGGCTCCCTGCCCCACTGCCTGATTTGCCTGAATTGGTGGGAGTGGAGGGGATTTAGTGGCACAAAACAAGTGGGAGTTCTAATCTGTTATATATGAGTAGGCAATAAATTTATAGAGATGTTTGTTGGGGGCCTCTGAAATGTGAGATTAATGGAAAGAGGAATTTATGCAGCTATATAATAATAAAAGTGGACCCACCCCTGCACTCCCAACCCCATTAACCTCGTTTTCTGTGCTTGCAGCAGTTCGGGAGAGAGAAGGACAAAATACCACATGAAGAAGTGGTAGCTGGGGTAACTGGGTGGTGCTAGTTTTATCCCTGCCCACGCAGTGCCGGGCTGCTCTCACTGATGGGACCTTATTTTGGGGACCAAACCCTGCCGTGCTGCTAGAGGTCAGGCTCACTCACGGGTTGAAACGCTGTCAGAGGTGGGAGGGCTCCTGGCTTGTTCCTTCAGGGCCACCACGGTGACGGTGTACTCTTCCCCTGGCTTCAGCCCCGTCTGGTTGAAGGTGGTGACGGTGCTGGGGAGCTGGGCAATCACACCGCCCTCGTTATTCTGCCAGGGAGCAGAAATAACCGTTAAAAACCAACAAAAAAAAAAAAAAAAAAGGTGTTGTGGGGGACTGATGTGTGGAGAGGAGGTGTCCCCCACATTGCATCCTTCCACCCACAAGCCTGCACCCCCAGACTGCATCCTCACCTAGGCATGTCCCACTGTGGAGGTGCAGAAACCCAGGGTGGAATCACCCACCAAGTGTGGAGCACCCACGTTGTGGGGCTGAGAACTCCTCCCCCATCCTTTCTTCCCCCCCACCCCCCAACTTCTGTATTTTTGCTGCTCTCCAGAAAAGATGATAACACCAAAGCCCGGGCTAGACTTCTTTTCTGTGCTTTTCATGTGCCAGGAGCCTTCTGTTGTTCATATATAGGTGTGAAAGTGTAAGGTCTTTATTTTGCTAACCCCTGCTTTTTAGCTATCTTTATTAAACTCATTATACTTTATGGTTTTGCTCTGAAAAACGGTAAGGCTTTAAGCAACTGCAAATGTCACCTTTCCTGCCAGTGTTTGGACAAAGGATCTTTTCTTGCCGCTGTCTTCACTAATAACACGCTAAACAAATCTTTGCACATAGCCCTCGATTCATATTCATCTCTTTTCTCATTAAACAGGAAATCTTCCATTGTAGCCATAAATTGCCAGCTTACCTTTCCTAATTTTCTTTTCTAAATCTGTCTTCGCTTCACCTTCCCCCCACCCAGGCCCCAGTGCAGGCAGCAGCTGGGCAATCCCCCCTGATCTGGCTTTCGGGGGTGAGAGCATCGTGGGGACCAGGGAAGAAGGATTGCTCCGCATGGAAAAGTGCAAGCATCCTGGTGGGGAGACCGAGGACCAAACAAGCATCCTCTTGCCCGGTTTCCAGGAAGACAGAGTGAGTTCAACTTTGCTCACAGAGGTTATTTCTCATGCTGCTGTTAGAACTTTTGAGGGTTTTTTAGCCTCTGGGACGAGGTTTTGGTTTTATTTGGGGTGTGGCAATGGTTTAGCGTTTGCCTAAGCAAGCCTAGCTTCCAGGCAGTCAAGGAGACAGCACCCTCTGCCTTATTTTATGAGAAAAGCCAGTGATGGAGACTCGAGAGAGTCTGATTTTTGGAAGCTGATGGGCAGGAGCACAACTGTGTCTTTACAACGCAGGACCATGCGCTTGAGTGATGGATGTGAGAACTTCAAAGCCCGGTGAGCTATCCCTTCCCCACCCCAAAAGCCATCATCCAAAAGCAGCCATCCTTTGGCGCTTTATCTCTTCCTTTAAATCCTGAAATGTTTCTGTGTGGTTTTAAGTTGTAAGCTTAAAAACGGAAAGGTGGACCAACAGTTCGTGTTTATGCGATGGCTTGAGATGATGACCCTGTGGGGAGACGTTTGCTTCTCTCCCAGCAATTCCTCACCTTAAAATGGATATATCCCCATTTATCTGTTTCAGGGGGATGCTGTTGAGCTTAATTGCCGAGCGACAGTGAAATGTTTGAAAGATAGCTGGGTTTTTGCTACTAGACTGAAAGCTCTTCCCTGACGTTGTCTTATCGCTTTGATTTTTATCTCAACGGTGAATGAAAATTACCCTGGGCTTTATATCTGCGGTACCTGAACTTCAACTTCTGACAAAATTTGCATGTGGATGTACCCAGAATTGCACCCAAATCCTTCCAGCCTTTTTTGGAAATGAGGGAATGAGTTATTTAAAGCAATTGGGCCCTTGCTTTATGCTGTATAATGATACTTTACAGTTAAGAGCATTTAAAATGTTGGGGCCAAGTTCTGCAGTTCCTCACTGCCCAGAGCTGCCTTTCACTCCAGCAAGGGTTTTGTACAAGTGAAAACGGCATAATTGAGCCCTTAATCAGCATTTCTTTTACTGCTGGGGCTTAAATGTTCTTGTAAAGAGGCTCCGTATACAATTGAAGCTATACTTATGGCTAAATGGTGTAGAAATTATGAATATAGATTAAATACTTGATGTACAATTTTTGTTGCTGCGCATAGAAAATATGCGATATTTAGGGCAACATTTTCATCCTTTCATCTTTTCTGGCACAAATTCTACCTGTTCATCATTGCGATTAAAATTCCGTGGCAGGAATTAGCTGTGCATGTGACTCGGGGATGCTGAAGGTTGTTGTCTGAGGGCTGGTGGCTGCTGGGTTCAACCCAGGCTGCTTCGGGTAGCTTAGCGTGCAGAGAGCAGCGGCGAGGAAGAGGAGAAGGAGGAAGGGTCACAACAAAAGAGGTGGGAGGGAAAAAGAGGAGGTGACAGCAAGAGGCAGCGAGGCTGGAAGGTTTATTTATTTATTTGCTTGTCTCTTGATTTTCTGGGGAAATTTCTTTGAGAACGTGTATGCCTTGACACCAAAGACTACTGGGGAAATGCAGGTGTTTGGGGTTGTCTGATGTGAAGCACATAAATTGCGAACAGAGGTTGTTTGGTGGTAATTGAGGGTAATTGGAAGCTAATTTGGGACCTGCTTGCTCCGTGTTTTTTAGGGTGCCCGGGTGTAGCCCACGATGCCACGCATGCGGCAGCGGTACCTTGGGGATAAAGCTGATCTCCCAGCCGTCGAAGGGGAAGGAGAAGGGCTCCCACTGCACCTCTGCTGTTGTCTCTGTGATGGTCTTGAACTTCAGCCCCTGTGGCGTGGCGAGGTCTGGAAGGGAGCAGGGGGTGGTGAGCAGAGTGGGACGGGTGTGTGGGTGCTGCTGCCCCCACCCTGCTCCCTGTGGCTATTTTTCATCTGGGCAACGAAAATGGGGAATCTTTTGGTAGCTGTTAGCAGAGTTCCTTTGTCCCCCCTCTGGGCAGGTTGGAGGAAGAAGAGGAAAATGCTTGGGCTGCTGGATGCTGAAGCATCCCACTGCAGTACCATTCAGAGTGAGCGAGGGGGTTGCAAAAGGGGTGTCTGGATAGTTTGCATTTCCCTCCTGTTCTCTGTGTCTTTAGTTTCTGAGGATCCTTTCTGGATGTTGCCATTACACCTTAATACTCCCATTTTCCTCTGTGCATCACGGTCCTGGTCAGGACTACATAAGTCTTGATGCACAGCAGGGTACCCTCTTGCTGTGCTATCACCCATGTCATGGAGATTCACCACAGGACAACCCATCCAGGAATGGGAGGAGAACCTGTGACTTCTGTGATATATCACAATATTTCCTATGAGGAAGGAAGTGTAATATTTTGGGCCATATTCTTGGCCCAAACACTGAAAGCTATTTAAATGCTGCAAGTTTCTTTGATTTTTAGTCATTTGGGTTTTTATCCAGACTGAGTCTGCAGAGGGTGGACAAATTTCCCTTTCCTATATTCCCATACAGCTATAAACAGGGATAAAAATATCCCCATTTTTTTTTTTAATTTTTTTGAAGTCTCAACTGCTTCTAGAAGGTTTTTATGGAAAATGTGAGTCAGCTCGAGCTTCACCTCTGGTTATTTGGGTGCCAAGCGACAAGTGCAGTAGGATACTTACTGGTCATCACTTTGGAGGTAACAGGGATGCTCAAGACGTCGCTGATGACTGCGTAGATGCTGATGTTGTAAGCAACACCTGGCTCCAGCTCTGTGATGGTGATGCTGCTCCAGTCCCCAGGCACCCGCTGCTGGAGCTGGGTGCCTCCTGGCCCCGCTGGCTGGTAGGAGACGACGTACTCGGTGGCTGCCCCGGGGCTGTCCCATGTCAGCTCGATGGAGCTGTCGCTGATCCCCGTCACTCGCAGGTTTTCGGGAGGAGCCACTGATGGGAAGGGCAGAGGTAAGGAGAGTGTCAGGGGCTGCGTGGCTTATCCTCCTGCCTGGCCATGGGGAAAGGTGTGTGGGTCTCCTGGTGGGACTTGTGTATGGGCTTTGGGCTGGGAGCTATGTGCTATCTGTGGTTACATTAAAGGCTATAGCAAGGCAAAGACTCAGGAGAACCTGACTGCAGCTTCTGTTTTGCTCCAAGGGTTTACCACCAATGTTGGGGACAAACCTCACTGGCTTTTTGCTTGCCTCCCAAACTTTCACCCGTGGTGTCCCTGAGGACAGGGACAACAGGGAGGCAGTCAGATTGCAGGGCACGAGCAGGTCCTATGTGACCTGCTCTGCCAGGTATGGGTTTCTCCCAGGCTTTCTGGTGCTCGTACAGGGCGCCTTGAAGTCCTTACTCCTACATTAGGGTCTGTCTCTCCCCCATGCATGCCCCTGCTACCTGCTGAGCAGTCCTGCCCTTCGTAGCCATCCTCGCAGACGCAGAGACCATCCTGGCAGACCCCGCGGCCGCTGCAGGCGTTGGGGCAGTGCAGCCACCTGCAGTCCTCCCCGGCGTAGCCCTCCTGGCAGATGCACGTGCCGTTGGCGCAGTAGCCTTTCCCCGAGCAGTCGCGGGGACACCGCAGCTGGGAACAATCCTCCCCGGCGAAACCCTCCTCGCAGACGCATTCGCCGTCCACGCAGAGCCCCCGGGACCCACAGCCGGCCGGGCAACGGAGCTGGGAGCAGTCCTCGCCCCCGTAGTCGTTGTCGCAGATGCACTGGCCCTCCAGGCAGACCCCGCGGCTGGAGCAGCCCCGAGGGCAGAGGGGCTCGGAGCAGTTGGTGCCCGCCCAGCCTTCCATGCACACGCAGCTGCAGGACTCCATGCTGAAGTTCCCGTGGCCGCTGCACTGCGGGGTGTAATCCAGCTGCCCTGCAAGGAGGTGGTGGGGTGAGGGTCAGAGCCCCCACCGGGTGGGAGGTGGGAAAGGGCGGCGTTGGCCCTGGGTCAACCCGTCGATGGGTTGTGGGGAGTTTGTGGGGCAAGTAGGGGATGGTCCTCCCTCAGGCTGACCATGCCCAGCTTTGGGGAGCTGGTGAGCTTAGAGATGGCAGGGGCAGAACTGGTGATTTGGACTCATGGTGTGGCTTGGGTGAGTCCCCAGGAGTTTATCTGTCCTCTCGTGAGTGCTAGCTTCCACGGCTATGGGTGCCACCAGCTTTCTTGGGGTGCAAGCGCTCCCTTTGGTTTCTCTTCAGCTCAGGGCTCAGTTGATGGAAACCTCACTAGACCTCTTACTGCTGTCCTCTCGTGAGTGCTAGCTTCCATGGCTATGGGTGCCACCAGCTGTCTTGGGGTGCAAGCACTCCCTTTGGTTTCTCTTCAGCTCAGGGCTCAGTTGATGGAAATCTCACTAGACCTCTTACTGGGAAAAAGCTTCCCCTAGCTGAGCCATCTGCACCAGCCATGAATTAGCAGGCTCCTGGGGTTTCCTCTCCACCCACTGTTCTTTTTTACAGGTGAGGGAACCTGGTCCACTTGCTGTCTCCCTACCAGAAGCAGGTATGTACCCAAAGACATAATCTTCATTCCTGTCCTGGTGAGCCTAATTAAGACAGAGCCATGGGCTTTGCACAAAGTATTTGGGCGTGCTGCGGTTGTGGGAAAGCAGGGAAAGCACATGCTACCATGGCCACCACCTCCAACATCCTCCCTTTACCTGGCAGCCATGCACAACACACTGGGGTGAGGAGGGATGCATGAGGACGAAGGCAGCAATTACTTTGACACAGCCAATGCTCCCCTCTTTTGCCCCTCAACATAGACCCATTGGTCCAGCTAAGGTTTTTTCCCAGACAGACTAATTTTTCCTTGCTAATTTTTACTGCTTTTCTTCCTCATATGAACCAATGAAGAGCAGAAACCCTTTCCTTGCTTCCTCAGACCCTTGGGAAGACTCTGTGCCGTGAAGACCACAATGCTGTGATCCCCCAACTAAGCTTTCTATCCCAGCTGAGCTATCTGAGCGGCTCTTCCCAAGGTGAGTGCAGCAGATGCTCATGTAAAAGGGGTTCAGTTATGTGCTGTACCAGACAGGCCCGTTTGGGTTACTTTGCAGGATGTTTCCCATCTAAACTGTGAATACTGGGAATGGCGAGCAGGTTCTCTTCAGATCTTACAGCCTCTAGTTAAGTTATCAAAAGAGGAGAGAGGATGCTTGTAAGTATGCTAGAAGAGAGCAGCTTTCCTTGGGGAAATGCCTCAGGCAAAGGAGATCAGGTTGGGATCCTGATCTCCTTTGCAGTGCAGTGAATTGAAAGCAACTCCAGTAAAAATAAATTAAATTACTCCAGTTTTAGCTCAGCGTGCATCTGCGATCAGAGCGGAGACTCCACTGAGCGATGAATGTTTAATGGGACCGTCTGCATATGTTGCAAGTAACCCAAATAGGCCCATCAGAGTTTCAAATTAATTCATTTAAAACAGGTTTTTCCCATTGCGTTTCCTTCGTGATTTTAACCCTTGCTTTGCACGCACTGGTGGCACGCCTGGGTGTTTCCTATTTTGTCTTTTTTTAATGCAGCTGATGACTCTCGCATCCCGGGAGGGATGCAGGCTGAGCCCACAGCTGGAAAACACTGATTACCCCCAGCTGCATGGGAGGTGTCAGCCTGGGTCACCCTCTGCCTGTGCCATCCCGGTTTCTCCCTCTCCTGTCATCCTCTGCCTGTGCCATCCCGGTTTCTCCCTCCCTGACCCACACACTCTTGATCCAACTCTCTTGACCTGAGTGTGGGTCACTCTCACTTCATTTGAATGTGTCCTCAATATAGAGGAGTTGGGGTACCACCGGAAAAATCACACTAATAGCTACAAAACTTTAAAAAAGGCAGCAGGGACTGGGGGGAAAAGGGTTGCTTTTGATTTTTCTTTCTCTCTGCCATTGTTCTTGGCCCAAAAAGTAGTTTTCCCATGGAAAGATGCCCTCCACAGCTCTCCTTGTTTGGTGGCTTTTCCCCATCAGGAGCCCTGGTGTGTCAGAGCCCAGAGATGGCCTAGGCTGCACAAGGACCAAATGCCCTTTGGGACAGGACCTCTTCCCAACCTCCCCAAGACATAAAGAAAACCATCAGTGTGCTAGCTCCTGTGCTGTTGAATTGCAGCCTCTAGCCCAAACCTTTCTTAATCTATCTCATTTCAACTTCCCTGGTTCTGAGGGATGGCCACAGTGAAATGAGGGGCTGTCTTTGAGGGGGTAACCCTAACGGGGGCTCTCGGAAAGCTTCACAAACTGCACATATTGTTATTCTGATGAAGTATCCTGTTGATGGTTTTGTGCCTTTGTTATAGGTTTTGTTTGCATCTTTCATGGCAATGGAAGTTATTCCCTGTATTTTTTGTTCTTTTTCTTTTAAACTCAGCTCTTCATACACATTCACTCCTCCTACAGAGAAGATGAAGGGGTTTGTTGCTGGCTCCTGTGGTGCTGCCTTCAGCCCGGAGACAGCTTAGGAGAGCAACAGCTATGTCCCCCTTTCCAGTCCCACAGGCAGTGGCAGATCTCTAGCAGCATTGCATGGAGTGCAGGGTTGGGACATCACCTTGCTCACCCCTTACAAGTGGTATTTTTATCTGTCACGGGGCTTTAGCCCTGGTCATTACAGGATTTCTGCAGTGAGCAGGACATGGGGGCTCAAGTGACCAAATCCCTTCCAGCAGTTGTCCTGCCTGGGAGGACCTAAGCCAGACTTTTCCCTAAAGCCACAGCAACACCATGGGTGAACACAGGTGTTCCTCTGTCACCACTCTGAGTGGCATCACTGATTTTGGATTAATTTCTCCTGCCTTTTGATCAAGCCCTCAGTCCCCAGCAAGAGCTAACAGGATGGCATTACTACCTGTGGCTGCATTTTCTTGGCAGCAATTGGAGTTGCATTGGTCCCGGAGTATGGAGACCTCCCTCTCCAGCATCTCAATCCTGCTCAGCAGCTCCTGCAGGGACGGGAGGGAGGTGGAGCACTTGCAGGCCTGCTTGGGCAAGTTTATCCTGTGGGTGAAGGTGACCTGGCTCTCGCTGTCAGAGGTCTGCTCTGCGTACTCCGCCAGCCGGTCGTCTTCTGAACTCACCTCCTCGGCTGAAGACTTGAACATGGATGAGCAGCAGCTGTCCAGGGGGATGTTGATGTTGTAGATGTGGTGGAAGACCATGGGCTGCTCTTTAATGGGTGGGCTGCAGTTGGCAAGGCCACCCTCCTCATCCACTGCTGCCCTCTTGGCCGGCTCTGTTGTCACCTCCAGCCGACACTCAAATGGCTTGAGGACGGCGCCCAGCAGAAGCAAGTTGAAGCTGATGAGCACGTTCCTCAGGACTGGGTTTTCACTGTCAGTCCCCATTTTCTTGGAAGAGGGAAGAGCCTCCTAAGCCAGTGTTGGTCAACCACGCAGGGAGGACCTGAGGACACAGAAGGAAAAGATCATGATTGGTGTTAGCCCTCAAACTGTGCTCAGCTTAGAGAGGCAAGTCCTGCTGGGCAAAGTCATCCAAAGAGAAGTGGGGCACAGTCTTGCTGACTTTGGTGAAGCCCAACTCAGCCCCAAGTGAAGCCCATGGTTGGTGTGGAGACCCTGCCATAGCCCTTGAACAGTGACAGGCAGATACTTGTTGCTATTACTGATTTATTTTCTTTTAACAGGAAACAGCTAATCTGGTACTAACAAAGCACCAAATACATGTTTTAAAGAGAAACACCCCGTATGGGATCTACTTTCAGTGTCATATCAGTACGGCATGCAGGGTTCAAAGGGTTAACACATGGGTGACAATAACACATCCCTGAGCTCTCCTCTGGTTGTCTCCTGTGCCCCAGGAGCTGCACCCGGGGTTGCTAAGCTTCCTCCAGTAGCTATAGGAACGGCAGCCTCGTTGTTAAACACTGTTAAATTACACCACGCAGGCTCCAGCTTGTTCGGGTCGATGCTCTGAGCAGATGAATCCCTCCCGTTAAAGTGGCTTCACCCCACGCTGTGTGTTACGGGTTAACCTTGCCTTGATTTGGAACAACACAACTTCTTGTTCCCGTATCGATCGCAAACCCTCGGGCGCTAATCCAGCCTCTGAGAACTACATTTATCTCCAGCCCAAAATCACCAGTGCCAGCCCCTGTTGTGCTGGGGATGGATTCTCCCCCGTTACTCTTGTCGGGACTGTTGCGTGCTGACCAATACTCAACGCCAACTGGTTTGCCATGAGGAATCACAGCCTGGTCCATCAGAGGATACGGTTAACGGGCAGGGGAGGCTGTGTCTGCAATGTCATTGCACCTGTAGATATGGCTTGTGTTTTCTTTGCAGGAGGTAGTTTACGTGCAGTCCAGGTGGGATTGCTGACATGTGGCTGCTTGGAGAGCTCTTTTTGCTGTGGTCAAAGGCTCTCGGCTGAGCCCTGGTGCTGCTTCAGTGTCAGAACAGCTAATTAAATACAATTATTTATCATTAATATTTCCACCTAATACCTTGAAACATCTGATTGAATTTCTTGCAGCATTTTAGGAGGGAATGTAAGTCGCTGTGTTTGTGGCTCCCTACCTGTGTTGGGTTTGTA